AGGTGAAGTTTTGGTTAGCTTCTTTGTCCAGTTGTGTTTCCTTTTTCCTTGATATAGTGAGTTCAAAAGTGTATAGTGCTGCTCCTTTGAATGTTATATGAGAAGTTATTTAAATCAAATTTTTATTCCTTTTTTTTAAAGGTGGAAGCTAATGATGCTGTAACAGTGGCTGGCATGACAAGGCCAAAGCCATTGCCTAATGAGGTCCTGTCTGATCTTGCTGTATCTGCTGCAACCAAGCTACAATGTTACCGGGTATTCTTCTTCTTTTTCTTCTGGGAAATAGAAGTGATGCTCTCAACTCTCTGTTCAATTTAAGTTTGAGTTGTATAACATATGGGGTTGTGATTACCATTGTCATTGAAACTATGCCTATTTGTCTAGGTATTTATTGGAACAATTTTGTGATTTCCTGTTGAATTTTGCTTCTATATTGCAGCATCTGGGTAAATACTTCAAACAGTCTGCCAAAGCTTTGGAACAGCAGATCGCTAGGGAAGCAAGATTTTATGGTGCTCTAATAAGGTATCCCTCTGCATTCATGTAAAAGAATTGTTATTTGAAATGTTGATGTTATGATATTCCATCTTCTTGACTTATTATTCTATAAGCTCATTTGTGCAAGCCTAGTTCGTTTACATACTCCATTTTTCTTATTTCCTAACAAGCGGATAGATTGCAGCAAAATTGGAAAGTTAAACGGCAACGAGTGGCAGCTCCAGCCTCTAGCAACGAAGGCTTCACTATTGATCTTTTTGATAATTCATTATATGATTCAGCAACAATTTCTCGTCCTTCTTCTCTATCTGTCATTCATATTGAACATGATTCAGCTGGAATGCTGGCTATCAACTTACCTTCAAATTCATGTCACTCTCTTCGTTTTGGTTTTCTGGGTGTGCATTCTGCTGATATCCCAAAAGAATTAAGTAAGATTAGGACTCATGGTTCAGTTGATCAGACCACAAGAGACACTCAGAAAGAATCAATGAGTGATGATGAGAGTGTTAAAGAAACACATTTGCTCCTTCGGGAAGTTCATCAGTCAATCTTTAATGATCAGGTACATTTTGCTTTCTCTTAGCCTTTTATGACTTAATATGCTTTTATTTGTTTACTATAGTTATGTTTCTTTGGTTCAGGTGTTTGATGTGGTGAATCGTGAAGCATTCAACCAATCTGCTGGAGTCAATGTAACTGGAATACGAGAAAATTATCTACAATTGAGCATAGGTCAAGGAACCTCTCTGTTCATATCACTTGTGCCATCTAGTAAGGGTGATGATCAGGCTGTCGACACTGCCAACACCCTGAATTTGGGGTCTGCAATTGTACCTTTGGATTCATTTGATGATGTGAAATTAGGAGAAGGAAAACATGATACTCCTGAAAAGAAATGGGGTTTCCCTAATCGGATCAGTTGTGAAATATACCTGCAGCAAATTGTTCATGAACATGCATTTATAAAAGGGAAGGATAGACCAAATTCATCTGGTACTCGAGTATCTGGTCAATCAGGAAAGGATGGATCCGGTCTTCTTGGTCATTTCTGTCTGTCTCTGGCTCATAGAATTTTTTCAAACAGAGTTCTTATGAAGCTGGAAAACGTGGTATTTTCCTCATTAATCATTTGCCATGGACTAGTGACTAGTTTTCATTAGATTCCATTGTTCTTACTTCTTAGTATGACTTTCCATGATATCTGTAGGTTTGTAGGGTCCCATATCTCCATTTGATGACCCATCCTACTTGGCATTCTCGGACATCTTCCTGGACAATCTTTATGAAAGTTCCTCAGTCCATTCTTCATGCAGAGTCCCAATCCCAAAAATCAGACTTCCAGAACATGAAGGATGCTATAAAATCACAATTTCGTACCAAGGTGGTGGTGAATGATGACCGCATCAATGTTGAAGGGGAAGGTGCTCCTAATGTTGTCAGACTGTTCAAAAGAAGTTCTGAGGACATTTGTTCTGTAAACAAATATGACTGTGACTTGGCTGATCTTCCAGTTATAATACTGCAGCAGGTAGGTTGTTATTGTCTTTTTCTAGGATTGCTACAATCTTAAGACTGTTGATTTATTGGGAAACAGTTTATGAAGTTCTTAATAGACTGTACTGCTGATATGAGCTGCATCTCATTTGATATCTGATATACATTTAAAGTAATGAGGCTGCGAAACAACCTAATATTGGAATAAGAAGATTAAAATGATTGCTCCTCAGCACTGACATAGAATTATAGATATATTTGAAATACATGTATTCTACTATCATTTAGAAAATGTCTAAATATACTTTCTGTTTTGCATAGTAAAAATCCTTACTCTTCCCTGTGCTGAGAGGCTGAAATGAATCATTAGTCATAGTTACTTTACTGAGTTATGGTTGAGAGAATACCTTTGTAATTTGAGCAAATTTGAAATATGGTGTGGAAGCTATACCTTAATGGAAACGTCTGCTGACACTTGGTGGTATAGAAGTTCTGGTTCTGCAAAGCTAAAGAGTTTAAATTATCAGAATCAAGACAAGGATGGCATAATTTATGCTTAGAAAGTTAAAGAGGGTGCAAATTCCTCAACCTACTTGGTTGTTTGAGCAGCAATCATGTGATTACCCTGAGAGTTTTTACCTAAACTGAAGTGATTAGACATTAATGTGGAGAAAGAGGTGCCTCTGCTTAAAGAGGAAGCAGGGATGATAGAGAAGCATGAGGAGGAAGTGGAATGTGAAAGGAAAAGATGTTTCCCTTTTTCTCAGTGAGAAATATGGCCCTATTTCTCATGTTTTCTTTTTTCTTAGCTCTCTCCTACCAAGCAATGGAAACAATGATTTTTATCTTCCATTTTCTACCTACTAGCCCTCATATTTATCTCCTAGCAGATACAAATTTTAGTTATTGACATTAAAATAGGTTGTTCTTGCATAATCACTATGTACCTGTGAATTTGTCCATTTAACTTTTGTTATTTGGCGAGTTTAGCGTAGGCTGTATGCTACTATTCAATCTTGTTTACTCACATTCTTCTTGAGGTGTGAGCAGAAGATGCTTGTATGTGCACATTTAGGTATTTTACTGGTATAGTCCTTCCATGTGATTGACATGTCTGACTCTGGCTACAGGTTGCAAGCCAAGTTATTCGTTGGCTTCATGAGGAAGCTCTAATGGTGGGAATAAAAACAAATCGTGATTTTCTGTGCTTGACTTTTGAGCTAGAACAGGGGGAGACTGTTAGCCTGGTGGCCCATGTGGATCCAGAAGACACTGAAGGCTGCATCTCTTGGTGGTTAGTGATGGAAGATGGATTTGCAGAGGATTGGAAACTTCAAATGGACATGTCTGATGGTGCATCTGAGTACAGAAAGTTTTTGGGGCATTTATCTTTGGACGTGTTATACTCAACATTAATGGACCTGGTTAGCTTGTGCGGTGGAGGTGGAAACCATTGAGCCTGCATAAGTTTCTTCAACATTTCATCCCATTCAGGTGGTTCGTATACGCAAGTCAACATTACTTGTAATATTAGTTCCTGTATGTTCAGGAAAGCAATTTCATTCTTTGGTTCCCTTTACTAATAGATGACTTGAAATATTTTACCAATTGCGTAGATTGTTGTAAATGGGCAGCTGGATAAGAATTGATGATTATTGTTGATGGTAATGATGATGAACTGATTAGTGTTCAATTGGTATGTAATCCAAAATCAGCAGTATCCTTTCTAGTGTAGTATTTTTCAACTATCTTCGGAAGATTTGTTCGTATTTGTTTTTCTTCTCCAACTCATCCAGCGTTCACACTCTGATTGTGTCTCTCTACGCGTTGCTTGAATTTTTCTGGTCACACTCTGTTTGGGTCTCTCTACGCGTGGCTTGAATTTTCTGGCCACACTCTGTTTGTGTCTCTCTCCGCGTGGCTTGAAATTTTCTGGCCAGCTATTTGGAATTTGGAATGGAGTACTTTTACTCATTGACTGTTACAGGTTTGAGGTTACATCCTAGAACTGATTTAAGGTTACAGGCTTGGACAAAGAAGGCTGGCAAGGAAAGACGTTGATATTTCCAGGTTAGGTCGCTTTCGTTTCGTTGACTATTGACCCAAAGAGAAAATGTCACTTACATTTCAAACAACAAACAAAGAAGAGTTGGCCAGAAGTGGCATCAGAATTGTCAGAACGAGCCTTCATGTCCAAGCAACCTCCCTGGAAAGTGCTCCTGAGTCCCAACTTCACATTTCTGTTGCATGAAAATCACTGGTGACTTCAGGTTTGCTGTTCTTTTTATTCATTTATCTGTTAATATCTTTCACTTATCCTTCACTTGTAAGGATTAAATTTGACTTCATGCACGTATAATACAGAAACCTTTTTTCTTTTCATATTTCACTTTTCTACGTTTGACAAGAATTGGAGAAGAAATGAAGTGCAAACTTGGAAATGATTGAAATAGCATGTGCCTTTGCATCCATATCCCAACTTCCCCAAATTCTTTTAACGGATTTTGCAACTTTTGAATGACAGGTTATCGCTCTTATCCAATTGTCCACCCATTCCAGCTCAGTTTGAAAAAGCAACATTCCCTTTAATTTAGGCAACTGGAATTGGAAGATAATCATATGCTTATCTTTAATGAAGTGGCGGCCAAGCATCCCCCCACCACCCACCATTCTTGCTTTTCAATCTAGCAGCCAAACTAAAACACAAAGAGACCTTCCTTCCTTCCTTCCTTTCCCTTGAAGCAGGAAAGTCAAAGCCAAAAGAAACAAAACCATTGACATTCCACATTCCCACCAATCACCTCTCGCCACGTGATCAAAATCCACCCTTACGATGACCAAAGAACCCAATAATCAGCGATCATCATTGACACCATTTTAGGTTAACCACCACGTGAAGATTTATTATTATAAAAATGATAACTCTTAGCTAAAAACAAAAAATAATTTCCAAAAAGGTTAAAATGTATAGAAGTTCCCAACCCCCAACACGCCCCACCCCAAAAAATGTATGAACACATTCTTTCTTCGAAGTACAAGAAACGTATCACTTCATGACTTCACCCTTTCATCTGCTTTTATTCCGTTTGAGACAGATCCTCTTCGTCACCCATAAAACGACACATATTTTAACGTGCAATTTTCTTTCTAGCAGGGAACTGAAAACACCAAAAGACTAAACTACCCTTTTGGGTATCATCTATTAAACCAATTTTGGGCCAATTTTTTTGGTATTTTTTTTAGAAAAAAATCTTAGGCATTGATGACCAGAATCAGGGAGACGATTACGTGGGTATCGAGGAGAAGCTGAATCTGTATCTGGGTTTTTGAGATTTTGTGGGGCTTGTAGATGGGTTTGTAGTGACACTCTTCAATTTTCAAATTTTTTTAAAGATTTTTTTATTGAATTCTATTAGATGATAAAAATTGAAATTTGCTAGCTGGGTTTCTTGAGTAATTTCATTTCCCCTGTGGGTTTTCATTTTTCATTGATTTTTATTGAGTTTTTAAATTCAACTTCCTTAGAGTTTTGATTCAATAAGGTTGTGATTTTGACATTAGAGTAGGGTTTAACAGTAAAAAGTACGAAATTTTACTTGATTCTTTGTGGAAATTTCATTCCAGGAAGCGGGTTTTTTATTAGTTCTTTGAAAGATTGATTTTTTTTTCTCTTTTTTGAGGGAGTTCGTGTTGTGTCAGAGGGTGTAAAAAATGTCAGGTGGGACACCAGTTGGTGGTGGATATGTGAGGCAAAGGCATAGTCAAGGCTATGCATCAGGCAATGAGGACCTCGAGGATGACGCTTGCTCAAGGTTACATCCCTTGTCACCGGCAACTCCGAGAACTAGGACTTGGACTGAGATTCTGGAGAATGTGCTTTGGGTTGGTTCAGCATTGTTCATTATCTACTTTGGTGATAGACACTCCAATTTGATATATCTATTGTGGCACGATGAGCGAATTAGAAGGTAACTGACTGGATTGAATTTTATACTTTGTGTCGTTTAGAGTACTCAAATTTTGCTTTTTATGTATGATTTATGAGATTTAGTTGTTAGTTAAGTGCTTATTCTTGAATGTTGTTTTTTGGCTGTCGAATAGTTGGTAGTATCCTGTTCTATATAATTATGGTATCTGAAAACTCATTATGGCCCTTGACGAGGTTTTTTATTCTCTTTGCTTTGTGTGCTTCAATGACAAAGTGCCCGAGCTAATTAAAATTGTAACTGAAATGGGAGAACCTAGTTAAAAACAAAATTTCCAAAGGGCTCGTGAGATTATTAGAAATGCTGCTTTCAATTGGTTCAAAAGTCAAAGTGCTTCCGAGGCATTTGCAAATTGTAGCTGAAATGCAAGAAGTGCTTGAACCACTAAATTGGTGGACAACAAAGTGGAACTACATTGCTGTTCCAGAGCTCCAAGTATCCAGTTCAAGTGCCGCTTTTCACTTTGGTGTTAACTCTATTTTGATATCAATCTTTTGGGTTGCTGAATGATTGTTTGTGTGCCGAACATCTGCTCATTAAATTTTAGCATATATGGGAACTTATGTACACAACACGGGATGGAGCAGCACAATAATAGAAGCTACTCTGTTGTGGATAAAGATATTAGAATTTTTTTTTTGGATTTATTTAAATGTGCAAAAAAAAATTGTTTAAAAAGACTTTACCTTTTGGGATAATGTTTGTTTTAAATTTTATAGGGGAAAAAACTGATTAATATGAATACTTTATGGTCATTAGTAAACTTGTAATGTCTAATCTTCTAATTTCTTCTTTTCTTCGTGTATGTGAGCATGTGACTGTGTGTATGTTTGAACGCATTTTTGCATGTGCACCAAAGTGATGAAACCAAGCACTTTATGAACAAGTATATCTTTACAAAAGAATGGAAGAAATGTATCCCTAATTATTAGCTAATTGAATTTGCTTATTGAGTATTTTACTGCACATGATTAGTGTTTGGTTTATTTTATCTAGTTGTCATGATTAAGATTTTATTATATATGTCGCACTGTTTCCTATACTATGTCTTCAGGATGAAGGCTTTGGTTGATAATTGCAAGATGATGAAGAAACATCATGCATTTGGAGTGTTTTCCTATTTATCATGTACTTTCCTCTCATGTGATGAGGCACTTCTTCTAACCAGGGACTTTATAATGGATATGACACTAGACAAACTTAAAGGCAAAATAGTTTTATGTAGCTAGTTTTCATGTTCCGACTAAGTTGAATTTACTAGAATCAATCATTCTGTACAATCTATTATGGCACAGAACCTGATTATAGATCATAATATAAACTAACTTTTTATCTTTTGAGATCAGAGAATCAAATGTCTGAATGATGTAATCATGCAGGATCATGCATCTTAAGTCCTTCACATGGCTTACGCATTTTGTTTGCCAGATATGTAGACATGTTGAATACATTGCTAAAAAAGTGAAGTTCGATCCTATATAGTGACTAACAGCCTATTTGTGGGAACCTTTGAAATCCATACACAATCGTCTCTTTGAGTGCCATCAATTGCGTTTTAAAAGTTATGCCTCAAGCCTCATTCAGTTTTTCTATCAAGAAAGTACCACCATGGTTAATAATCACTTCCTAACATAATGGAGATGACGGGCTTGTTACGAATTGGGATCTTAAATTATTGAACTTGTGCAAGTAATGCAATTTACTTTTCCTTCTTGTTGTGACTTCTTCGATGATATCATGACCAATGGAAAAATTACTGGTAGCATCTATGGCCCCTTTGAATTAGAGTAGTATTTTTCCTTTTCTTCTTTCGTTTCTCCTGGACATTTTAATGTTAAATTGGAGTGATGATGAGACTGTTTTCACCTTGTTCCACACTCTTAACATCTATCCAGATATCTCCTCTGGCTGTGAATCAAAACGCAGTCATTTGAGCATCTTCTTTATTTTATCTAACATACAATGTATAAATTCTCTGTATGTAGCAAACATCAGAATCCATTATGTTTTAGGTAACTTTTGTGATAACATGATTCTTCTCATCATTCATTCATCAACTGGCTGGCTTAACTTTTGAACAATCACAATCATCCTTTTAGTTATGATTTGCAACTGGCAACATTTTCTCGATTTGTAGTTTGCAGTAATGATTTTTTATTTCATATTCAGTTTGTAGTTGCTCACTTCTCAGCATTGACATATTGTGTATTTGTTCATGGGTGTGATTCAGCTTATATGTCTCCCATCTTATGTCATTTACTACGTGTGCAGAATGCCTTTGTACCTGGGCTTGGTAGGGATTGGATTGAACATTGTCATCTTCTTTTATACGAGTATGCTGGCATGGAGTGTAAGGAGGTTTGATGAAAAGTGGGAATTATTAAGCATATCAGCTTTGCCAATTATTACCTTGCTTGGACTTGTCTCCTTTTGCTTGTAAGCGAAACAATTGTGTTATTTCTTCATATATTTGTTGGGTGGCATATGTACTTTCTTTTCAAGTTTTGCTGGCAATTTTAATACAGGCTCTGCTTTGCTCTATGGCCTATCTGGGGTTTCTTGACCCTTCCTCTTCTGGTACATATCACAGCCCTTATTTTGTTGTTTCACTTGACTGATATTATACTTGTGGAAACTGTCTAATATTCACTATTTTGTTTTTCTGCAGTTCACACTGTTTATGGCTGGTTTGGTTGTATACCCTCATATCATGATTGAGACATTTAGGCCACAAAATGAATTTTGCCGTACAGATTAAGCTTTCTGGTATAAAGACAGTACTGACTTACATGAAGACTTAACAATCCAAAAGATGGATAGTTGGCAGCATCAGTTATAGGCTGGAGTTTTGTTTATTGTTCTGTCTTTGCTTCTCATGACAACGTTTTGCCCTGTTGATGCCAATGATGATACAGCTGATTGTCTTTTATCAGCCAGTGATTTTACATTGAAATGTCGACCCTGCCTCGATGATGCTTGATGCATCTTATTATTGCATCTTAGGATTTTTGAGTTCTATGATCAAAAATGGATGGCAGGTCTCTTCAACTTTTAACTTTTGTGTTCATGGTATTTTTCTTTCAGATAGAAATTCTTTTGCTGTGAACCACATCTCTTTCGCTGAGCATTCCCTTGTGTTTATCCAGTGTACTGTTCTGAAAGAAAGAGGATATAACGAAAAAGAGTTTGGTTTTCATATTACAGTGTGAAAATTTAGCTTTCTTGTTATAGTCACCAATCTCGTGTTCCATTTTTCCCTTTGTCAATTAGTTGCAACTGGACGATGATTTCATAGAATCTGTACTGATGACCGATTTGAAGACTGGAGAATCAGGAAGAAAAGCCTTAAGTCATACCTAAAGTCTTGAAATATGAAAAGTATAATCAAATAATGATATCCCAAGTCCGGAAGAGTAAACCCTGAGCCAGACATGTCTTTGAAATTTGCTTTATCTCGAATTTAGACAGAGTGGAATTACATGACGCTTTCACATAATCAAAGAAATTGGCAAGTGGAGTAGCGTCATCAATCATCAATCAGGTGAAAGTCACCCTCTCATTAGGTTCACAAATCAACGACTAATAACATGAATGGAAAATTTTATAAGAATCTCGTGATAGAATAATGAATGCTTGGCATTCTCTGGGGAAAAAGAAAGAAGAAAAAATCAAGCACTGGAATTCTCTTTTGTCAACACAGCCAATATACAATAGCAATCCAACTGGCTCACAACTGAGTGAGCCGTTCATATTTTCTTATGCGCTGTAGCTTTCGACAATGGTCGGCTGGTCACTTTGCAAACGTAGAAAAGCCTTGGTTTTAATTGAAGCCACTAATAAAAGACGGGAAGAAAACAGTGATGAATAGACACTTCATCAACTCCATCCTTTCTCTCATGTCTTGTAAACCTTGTCTTCTTGAAGGATAGAAGTAAATGATGAACAGATAAAGACAGAGAAAAAATTGGCAAGAATCCTTCGTTATCTGTACAAATATCTTCATATTCACGTAGTAGGTGATGGGTTGGCTGAGAATAGTGATAAATAATTCATTGTGTGAAAGCACTGGAAGCCTGCATTACCATTGAATCCATCCAAAGTTTTGGCTTATATGTTTTAATTTTCCTGCTATACAACTTTCTGTTCTTTTTCTTTTACATAGGAAAGAACTATTCTTACGCGCATAATATTAATTCTAGAAGCTTTAGTTGCCCCCTAATCCAAATGTCTAATGATTCAAAGAATTCAGAAGAAAAAGGGTTCAGCCAGATGATACTTAGTTAGGTTAAGGCTATGCATAGCTCATTCAGGCTTAGCAACAGGCAAAGGACATCATTCAATCCACATTCCACCTGCAAAGTACAAATTATTCCAGGATTTTTCAGTTTAAAACAACTCTAAAAGGGAAATCAAAAAGGCGTTTGTCTCTTTATCACAGGGACTGGTAAACGTAGGGCAACTTGATGAGTTTATTAATATATTACATTTCCACAGTCGTCTCAGGATCAGGTGCTTGAATTGAACTGAACTGAACTGAAAGTGGCCTAAAGTCCTATCTATGGAAAACAGTTAAAAGAGGAAAGAAAAAAGCCCACTTGGGATGAGCATGGTTAGTCCTGGGTTCTTAGATGACCAATGCATGAATTTGTATAAGAAAGTTGAAAACGTGAACCCCACTTACAATGACTTTGTTTGAAACCCCACAAAAGACCTCAACCATGTTTTGTCCCCCGAACAGGGAAAGACATCTTTCAACATCTCAGCTGATCTATAAAGAAAAAGCATTGCTTGCAGGCATCATAATTCTCATGTCCTTAGTGCTCAGAATAATTCTTAAGAGTTTGCATCACCAATATGGTTACAAGCACACACACTTTGAAAATTCTGATAGATAGAATAACGAGGCGCCGAAAATAAAAGGCATCATCTTTGCCCCATCAGGGATTGGAGCAGAAAGGGATTATGTACATATATGTATATATATTGACCCCCTGTTTATTTGATCAAGACTTGTTTTTATCTCAAACCTCTCATTTGTCCAACACAGGATGCATTGGAGGGGGAAGCCAAAGGTGGAAGACTTTTGTAGAAAACGATAAGATGGAAAGAGAGAGGGTAGCCATAGTTCAATGATGCTCATTTCTTTCTTTCTTTCTTTTTTTCTTCTTCTTTTTTGTTCTGTACAAGTAAGTTCAGTTGAAATCGACAAACTTAGTTGCAATCCTCAACATCAATCAATTCAAATACATTTCCGCCACAAGCATACATGCAGGGCAGCCTGATATAATTCTTTAATTTTATGTGGGTTCGTTGATTTTTCTTTCACCCCTCTTCTTCCTTTCTTTTTCTCTTCTTTTTGCATCATGGGAACCTATTTTTGTCACGATGGCAATGTCATCAAAGGCAGGCCATTACAGTGTTTTAAGATAGAGAAATTGAACCCAGACTCTTTCAGTTAATTTAGCAGAATATACACTTGCTATTGAATGGAACGTCCAAATGCAGACATGTTAATTTTTTATATCCTGCCAATTAGCTATGTGCTTGGAACTTTGTTTAAGATCGTGTGCGGAATAGTTGAAGTGTCTATTTAGATGACCTCATACACATTGGCCAAAATCGTTTCAGTTTTTTTCCAAACCAACCCCTGACTTAAACAACTATACAGCCTGCTGAAATGGTAAAAGACAAATGTTTTACTACCTAATTTCAAGTCCAACCCTGATTTTTCTCCGGAGAGGAATATCTTACAGGGCGACCTTAAGTGTACAACCACCGCTGTTTAGCATAATAGGCCAAGCAATAGCAAATGGATTTCAACAACTGTACTCACAGGCCAGTGACCTTTCCCCTTTCTCTAAGGGACTGCTAACACTGCTCGGATGTCTTCTATCCAGTTCATCATGTTGTGCTACACTAGTCTACCAACTTGAAATACAAGGAAAAGCACCAATCTCCCTAATTCTGGTATAGTACATGAAAAAGGGGCATGAGACATTGAGCAATCCAGAGTTTTGTATGCGGGTGATTTATCATTATTTTAAAATAGATTATTTGATTTGATTAGAAGTGATGATATTATATATTTTATATTTTATATATGTAATAAAAAATTAAAAATTAAAAAATAATAACTGTCACTTTCATAATTATATGTATCTAAAACTTTTTGTCTTACAAACAACATAAAGGTAAATCCACATCAATTATAGTATTATTTTGAGTTTATAAGCTCTATTTAAAAGCCATTATAAACATATAACATGAGAATTAACCATAATACTCGTCTATTAAGTAAATATTATGCTCCAAACTCCAAAGTGCAAGCTACCAAGTTCTACTGTCTACACAAGAGAAGAAACAAAATACTAGAAGTGTAAACTTGCACTCCAAAACTGTTCAGTCTGAAAAGAAGAAAGCGAAGAGCATAAAAGATGTGATAGCTATACATGGCTATCATAATCCAATCACTGTGATCTTATATTTCACTAAGATCTACTTGGCATGGCCCATCCTGATCATCATCTTCAGACAGAATCCTCAAATGACCAAAATGCCCCTCCTCGTGGATCGGCAGACTAGGTGATGTGTGTACAGGTTGGGTTTTATTACAGACGAGTGTAAGGAGGCCAAGAAAAGGAATATTTGATGTAATAAAGACAGAAAATGAAACTCCGGGTGTAATGCTTAAGAATTTTGTTAGTTCAGTGTAATTAATTTGGTGGGAGTTTATAGTTTTGTCCTTAAACATGTTATGATAAACAAACTTGCGGCACAGTATTATCACAACCAATCTTTTAGTTTTTTTTTTTTGGGTATCACAATCTTTTCATTTAAAGAGCTAAACTTTGAATTACAAACAAAAAATTCTTAAGTTATTAATAGTAAATTTTTAAGTATGTTTTTTATTTGTTTAATATTTTAAAATGCATAAAATATATATTAAATTAAAAATAATAGCTTTATTGTTAGTTTTTTTTTCTAACTTATCAAAACTTAAAAAATAAAAAAAAATAACTAAATAGGTTATTGATATATACATATCACTTTTAATAATTTGTACATCATATATAAAATGTACAATAACTTGTTGTGTAATAGTGATGTGAATAAATTATTTAGAACAAATCATTAATATTTACATTTGGTTACAATAATTTGTGAAAATTATAATATATTCTATAACATGTACATCAATACTTTAATATTTATATATAAAATAAATTATTGATATATATATATGTACATCTTATTATACCTATATATACCTCATGTTATATTATAGTAATTGAAATAAATTGTACACAAAATAGGCCAATAATTGATATATTATATCTGAGACTTATACTTTAATAATTATTTTATTGACAATCGAAAGGGAAAGAGGAAAATAAATTAAATCTATTACACTGCATTGAAAATATCTTCATCAATACACGAACTGTTCTTTAACTTGGTGTCGTTACACTCATCCGTAGTTAACCCAAAAGACGTAATGTGGTGGTTCGGCATGTACTAGAAAATCCCTTTTTCATATTTATATAAAAATAAAGGAAAAAGAACCCATTTGTTGGAGTTGCGGAGATGTGGGACCCACAATATTTTTGCGTTTTTGAATCTTGGTCCAATTCTCCCAATTTTTTATTTTGGAAAAACGAAATAAAATAAAATAAAACTCACACAAAATCTTTGTCCTAAAGGACTTGTTCATTCTTCAACAACAGGCAACAGCTATTGCCCTTGCGTGACTTGCCGTTATAAACGCATCTCTTGCTTCTCTTCTCCCGTAAAAACAAACCATCAAAGCGTCATCATTTAAGTCTCATCTTTTCTCTCCTCCTTTTAATGTTTTATGTTGGCTTTTCTTTCTATCTTTTCTTTGGTCTTTCTCTTTCTTTTCTTTCTCTCTCCCTCATTTGTTGAATAAACTCTTGTGCTTGGTAGGTTGTGCCGTTGAGTGAGATGGGCCCTTAACTCCACTGAAACATTTTAATGGGACTCTATCTCCTCTTTCAGTGCTCTCTTTGCCCCCATTTTGTTTGCTGTCTCGCATTTTAAGTTTTCCTTTTTGCCAATTTCTCTATCTTTTTTTTTTCCTTCTTAAATGAGAAAAAGATAAGATTCTGGGGCATCTGTTTTCTCCCTTATGAGGCCATGGAAGGTTGTTTTATGGGGTTTTTGTGTTTGGGTTTTTGATTTTACACACTAGTTTTGCAGATTATCTGGTAAAAATGTTGGATTTATCTGGTATTCAAAACTTTGGCTGACTGGCTTTTGAGCGCTGAGCCCCCTTTCACTCTGGCAAATTTCCTTCTTTTTGAGATTATCGAGGTGATTGATGGTTAAGGTTTAGGTCTTTACATTTAGGATTTTCATTCAAGCTGTGAATTTTGGAAAGACTAAGAGGCATTTCCTTGTTCTGTATAGATCTCGGAGATTGTTCTTTCGAAAATGGAAAACTTTGATGTGAAGTGGTGATGAGAGTGAATTTGTGATTTGTAATTTATGTTTGTTGGGTGAAAGAATGATGATTGAGAGATAGGGCTTGATTCTGGAGGTGGGTTGTGGTGAGTTTGGTGTTGGCTAGTTGTTGAACGAGGAAAGCATGGACAGAATGATTCAACCTCCTTTGGTAAGTTAATTATTCCATCCTTTCTGCTTTGAATTCAATCATATTATCTGCTTGAAGAGGTGTTATTTAACGGATTTTTGTGATAATAGCTAATGGTTGCGTTATAAACTACTGGGTGTGTTGTGTGTGGGTGGTTCAATTCATTGTCTGTTTGATTTTCAGCTGATTAACGCTACATGGACCTCTTATTTCTCAGAGGCTGAAAAGTTAGCTCTCTTGACTATTGTGATTGATTGTATCATCCTCCTGTTATATAGATAGTTTGACAATTCTTAGCTGAAGTCTCTCTCTCAAAAATTTTCTCATGTAGACTGATTTGTTATCTTATTGAAGTTATGGTGTTTTAGGGTGCGTGCATATGTGGATGAAGTCAAGATTATCATAACATTAGAAATGTACGGAGAAACATGTTTGTGGAACTTCATCCTTCATGCGTTTTTCTTAACCATCCAAACTTAAAAAGGGCTCTTTTTCTGAATCCCTGGGAATGGTAAGCACTTAAAATGTGAAAACTAAACAGTTAACCAACTCAAACTGGAGGGGGGTTTTCTGTGTTCTAATGATTGCAATAGGAACCAACGCACTACCTCTGGGATCCAGTGCAGTTAGTTTAGAAACTGGATTATTATCGTTTAAGTTTTTTTTTTTTTTTAAATAATTGGGGGAGGGGGATTCAAACCCTGCTCTTTAGACAGGGGATAATGCACCAACCAATGAGCCAAATGCTCGGGTGCTATTATCCTTAAAGTTGAAAACCTTTTTTCTCTTGTTTAATTTCATTCAACATATTATTTTGTGGTAAGGAGCTTTATATCAATTTCTGGGCTCTTTTTGGGTTCAATCTTGTGTATGTGACTGGCTGTCTTATACTATTCGCGTTGGACTCAATAAGCATCTGCTATGTGCTAATTCCACTGAAGGCTCTAGCTCCCTGAGTGTTGGTGGAATTGTCTTCGGTTTTTATCCTGATACAAGCCTCACTATATATGCCCTAAATGGTTCAGATTATTCTTTAAATCTTGCAATACTGTTTTTGTGCACATTCATCATATTGATAAAACAAAAAGAGTGAGATATCTGTTTAATATGGTAATTGTTGCTTTTATGTTGGCATCTAGGTTAAACAAGTAAAAATGTCATAGAATTGAATGTCAAACATTATTAGCCAAATTATACGTGCTAGAACTGTTCTCTATCATCAAATAAATGATATAATTGGCTTATTGGTGGCTCGGAATGCATGTCTTTGTTGATGCTGACACCAGCTAGTGCATCATACTGGCTTCCTGTTACTGCGGTAAGAAAGTATCTAGAAAAAATCTCATCAATTGTGAATGTTTGTGGCAGGTTGATACAACCGCTTGTTTATGTAGAGTAGATGCTGGACTCAAATCTGTTGCTGGGGCAAAAAAATATGTACCTGGTACAAAGCTCTGTCTTCAACCTGATATTAAACCATCTATTCATCCAACAAGGAACAAGCCAGCACGCAGTGATAGGAGCCGTTACCAATCGCCTCTGCTCCCAGGACTCCCTGATGATCTTGCTATTGCTTGCCTAATACGGGTGCCCAGGGTTGAGCACAGAAAGCTCCGTCTGGTCTGCAAAAGATGGTATAGACTTTTGTCTGGCAACTTCTTTTATTCTCTCCGTAAGAGCCTTGGAATTGCTGAAGAATGGATTTACGTGATTAAGAGAGATCGGGATGGAAAAATTTCTTGGCATGCCTTTGATCCCATATACCAGCTCTGGCAGCCTCTCCCTCCAGTCCCTAGGGAATATTCTGAAGCCCTTGGGTTTGGATGTGCTGTCCTCAGTGGTTGTCACCTTTATTTGTTTGGTGGTAAGGATCCATTAAAGGGATCAATGCGACGAGTCATATATTATAGTGCCAGAACAAATAAATGGCACCGTGCCCCAGATATGCTTCGTCGAAGACATTTCTTTGGTTCATGTGTTATAAACAATTGCTTGTATGTTGCTGGTGGAGAGAATGAGGGGGTACATCGGTCATTGAGGTCAGCTGAAGTCTATGATCCCAACAAGAATAGATGGTCTTTTATTTCAGAAATGAGCACAGCAATGGTGCCCTTCATTGGGGTTGTATATGAGGGGAAGTGGTTCTTGAAGGGGCTTGGACCTCACCGACAGGTGCTGAGCGAGGTCTACCGACCAGAAACTGACAGCTGGTACCCTGTCTATAATGGAATGGTTGCAGGCTGGAGGAACCCATGTGCCTTCTTAAACGGGCACCTTTATGCTTTGGACTGCAAGGATGGTTGTAAGCTTAGGGTTTATGATGAATTGACTGATTCTTGGAGTAAGCATATTGACAGTAGGATACATTTGGGCAATTCTCGAGCTTTGGAGGCGGCAGCTCTTGTTCCACTTAATGGAAAACTTTGCATTATTCGGAATAATATGAGTATATCCCTGGTTGATGTTTCAAAATCTGATGGTCTGAGGGGAGCTACTGCTGAACATTTATGGGAAACTATAGCAGGGAAAGGTCATTTCAAGACCTTGGTTACAAATCTTTGGTCTAGCCTTGCTGGCAGGAACCGGCTTAAAAGCCACATAGTTCACTGCCAGGTTCTCCAAGCATAATGACTGTATATTTTTCCAATATAGGATTGGCTCTGTAGTTCATGCCTTCTGGTATCTCTTGAATGTGATGGGGTTGAGGAGCCAATAGCTTGCCAGAATGTTGCTTCTCATGCACATAAATCCTTTGTTGTAGGTTCTTATCAATGTCAAAGGATCGGATATACCATGAGGCATGGGTGGTATCAATGAGGATTTCTGTTTTTGCTAGGTTGTTAGTGTTACAAATATTTATATAATACACAGTTGTTACTTGTAGAAAATTGGAAAAGCCTGTTCACTTGTTCTTTAGTTCCTCAAATGATTGCAAGCCTGAAACTGCTTCGGTCTTTTTTATCTTTCACCATTTATGAGCAGGTCAGTGTGACAATTTCATCTGTCATTATCCCTGTAATGCGTTTCAAAGCTTCGAAATAAACTTAACAGGAAACCATGTAGCAATTGGTGCCTTGAGAGGACGAATGTAGTTAGCACGGCACCGCCGCCCAGGCAAAACAGTTCAACATTGTGCAAGGCTTTTTGTCAAGATATAGTTTAAATGTAAAGAGAGATGACGACCGAGTATAATTTTACCATATTAAGGCTTAGCTAATTATCTTCTAACTCTGCCAAATGATCACAAGCTTCCTTAGATTTGACTCGATGACTGTTTTTAATGAGCCAGACTGAGCTTGAATTCAAACTTGAGCCCCCCTCTCTGGTATTTACAACACGGACTTTGTCTTGCTGCCCGTTTCAGCCAGCCTTTCTTTCCGTCGCTTAAACTTTTATTCACGGTATCCTGTTGTAAGGTTGAAGCGATCTTATGTCATGAGTGCTTGATATGGCAGTAGAATATGCTTATTCTTGGAAAAGACTCAGCCACTTAATATGACATTACATCTCAGGCCATCGAGCTCCAGCAATCAGATCACAAGTTTCCACGGATAGCATTATTTATCAAAATTAATGTGTCTGATAAATCGATGTAATTGTGCTGGGTTGGATTCTTCAGTAGGGCTAAACTACCGCCAGCTTAATAGATGAGTCCCAATGTGACAAAAAGCCAAAAAAGATGATTGATGATAGAACACTGTCCTATGTACCAGAGAAAATACCAAATATATCCATTTAATAAGCACTATGATGCCGATTACCAACTAAACACACCTTGCTTCAATCCTGTTATGTGAAAGGATGCCGGGTTAAGATATCTGAGACATGATAGGGAGCCCAGCGAGAGAACCAGAGATGAAAGGAAACATCTGAGGGAATACCCAAATGGGACTGCCCAGCTGTTCGGACGACCTACTTGGGTTTGAGACACATGGTTCTGCTAAACCAGGATCACCCTGCCATTGCTTTATTTCTTTCAATCTTAATTTTCAATTTTGTTTCTCAGAAATGGGTTCAAAAGAATATTTTACAAGAATACTGACAAAGGAATCAAAACACTGTTCCTACAAATCCATAACATAAAGAATTTTTGCTATTTGCGTGTACGCTAACAATCTTATACTGTCCCAGGTCCGGAAAAGTGAGATTGTGCAAGTGAGAAGCACATCTCCTTCCGCCTCTTGTATTCATTATACCGCAAGAAGAAATAACCAAGATAATCAAAATCGATGGGAGACATCCTTGCCTATAATCAACACGAAAAAGGATAAAGACTTAGATATAAGTCATGATTTCTTGGGCTTTGAAATGCATAGCTGGGAATAAAGATACCTGGATTATTGCCCATAAAGCCCAATACAAGTGTGAAGCTAACATGAAGGTGTTTGTCTCGACATAGAGAGATTCGAGATCTTTTTCAGATACCTGTGGTTAACAAAAGGAGCTTAAATGTAGAGATTTTCAAACTGAAAACATGGCACATATCATTCGTTTTAAGTTTAATATATCTCAAGCACAAAACTACCTTTTTTCTCTGAACCCACAAAGGCCAATGTATAAACAAGATCAATTCCTAGCAATCTTAAATTGGTTTTTCTTAGTTTCAACTTAAAAAGTCTTGAATGATGATCATGTGATTGTTTGCACCGATGCTGATAAAAAAAAAGTATGTTACACAGAATCCCAGTTGTGGTTCTAAGACAACCATATAATAATGAAAAAATCTATTTGGATATCTAGTATTATGAAAGTTACTGGTAAGATCAGTCATGAGTGGCTAACAGCAGTTAGAAATGGCCTTCATATCAATCTAACATCCAAGAATGAGAACATCAATGCAGCCTCAAGCTAATAAATGGCATACATACAGTCATAGCAAGAACATATGCAGTTTGCACCAATCATCTGAAGACAACAATAAGTTCAATTAATGCACATACCAAATAAAGGATGCAGTAACTCCTATTAATAATGGGATAAAATAACCCTCCATATGGCTCAAATAATGCACATAGAATTGATTCAACCAACATGAGTTGTAACAAACTGACAATGTATTCTATTTCAGGGCCATCTTGTCAAACTTGAACATTATAGTTCAAACCACAAATGCAAGAGTCAGATATTCTTACATACCTCATATGGTTTTTCAGGTTGTAAATAATGCCTGAAAAAATGATATTGTTCATCTTTACTAGGATACCTACATTAACACCATGATCAACAATCAGTAGGTTGCAATCTATTCAACTATTCACCATTGTTACACAAGAAAAGAACTGCAAAGCAGAAACTGTAGAAGAAGCATACAAGCTATAGTCACAGTCATAGCCTGCATATTCATTGAAGTGATTTCCAATGTCAAAGCCTCTGTAATTGTACGACCCATACTCGAAATCAATGAAGTATAGCTTATCTGGACATTAACAAGATATACAGTTAAAGTAAACACAACAAGAAACTGGAAAAAGTTAGGTAAGCAGAAGAAACTACAGTTGTATTCCATCCAGTCATTAGGCACCAAGACAATATCGCATTTCTTCTGTCTCAAGGTTATTGATTTTTTAAGACATCATATGTGTTTATCATGGTGACATGCCAGTGTTGTAGAAGCAGTAACATTAATAATAAATTTCTCATAATGATAAAGCCAGATCTTCAACCCACTGATGTCTTGTTGACTAGAAATTGTATGTCATACCACAATCACTGCACACAACATGTTTCAAGTTGTGTTTGTATCAGATGAAAACATAGACACTACTTGGACACTAGCTAGTGCACAATTGACACAGTTTCAGGTAATAACATTTGAAACCACACACAAGGATGCTTTTGTTGGTTCTTACATGCTCTGAAGTGTGTGATCATCACATCTCAATCATATTAAACAAACTTATTTTGGTTGGAAGTAGGCAATATTCAGAATTCCACAAGAAAGGTCTATGGAGCATCATGATCCGTTGAATGAAGCCTTATCTTTAACAAGAAAAAATAAAACCCAGTACAGATTACTTTTTTGCAGGATTTACCACATTGCCAGCAGCCTATGCCTACTAAGTCTCATATTGGCATCTTAATATTTTCATATCTATCATGCAATAGTGTTTTGTTTTTAACTACTATTACAAAGTTTTTAGATATCCTTCAGCACTGTTGGTTCATTTTCAGCGCACACATTTTGCTTATCTATGTATTATAAAAAGAGCTTAAATCACCCAATATCAACATACAGAAAATTTTTATGGATAAAGACACTACACTCATCTGGAAACATATGAGTGAAAAAGTGTGCATGCGCATGTGCAACTCACATGATTGTGTGTGTGAGTGTTTGCCTATGAGAGAGAGACAGAGATAAACACATGTAGAATACAGAACGTGTCTACTGCAATTGGAACCAACCAAAACATGAATAGTATGTATGGAGGTTCTTCCAGAGTAAACAGAACAAGGGGGAAAATGGTGGGACTAGCAGAATGAACAAACTCAAAATTATAAGTTCAGACATACCATGTTCATCATTAAGCATCAAATTTCCAGAAAGTAAATCATTGTGGGCAAACACCACCGGAGCATTAAGAAGGCCTGTCAATTCCTGGTCCATCATCAGGAGACACTCTCATATATGGGGATAAAGTTCTTGATCTTACAAGAATCAACATATAACCAGAAGACAATGACCAAACAGCGCACGAGCAACAGTTTCCCAGAGCCAATAGATGCATCACACTTTCCCTTCATCAGCACCAGATGAATCAAACAATATGAAAAAAGGTCTTACCTTCAGTTGTGTAACTTCCTTACGCACTTCCTCAAACAAAATTGTCTCATATATCAGCTGCTTATCAATATCCTCAAATTGGAGAGCAGATGCTGCAATAGAAGGCCTCTAACGTTAGATATATATCGGGTAGCACTAGGCATTAATCTTTAGAAGGAACTAAATGTGCCCCACTTTACTGGGGACCATTGGCAATAGCAGACTACAGTCAATCAAAATTCCAGACGAAAAGTGCTCTCTTAAAAGCCAAAACTTGAAAATAAACAAAACAAAGAAGATGGAAATTGAAGCCACTGCAACTGGAAGGCAGTCCATTTCAAATTATATTAAGCTGCAAAAACTGTCAAATACCATGTCGAAGAAGTTGGTTTTCAAACCTTTCTCAAAGAACTTAAAGATGTCAACCCATAGCTGAGGTTCTTTTGAACCTGGAATTTCCACTTGATGGAATCTACGAAGTTGCTTAGCTATTTCAGCAACCAGCTTTGGCTTTCTCATGTCTGCCACAGAAAATTAAAATTATATCAGTACATAGCTTGCAGTCCCAACACTAGCTTGCACTTGAGTTGAAAAACAATCATTATGATTTAAGGTAATAATTAGTTACCATAAAAGTCAATGCCTTAGTAAATTTAATTAACTATAGTATGAGACTAGGCCAAATATCGATGATAGGCATGAAACAAATAGGACAATAAAAACTTCAAGTGAGGCAAACAGCTTTCTTAAGGATGCTGCCTGTATAGAACATGAGATTTTAAGGCACTCAAAGGCATAAACCCTCTCAAATTACTGATGTTGATAGAACACAACTTCATTAGCAAGTCCTACTTCCACGGGTGATCTCTCTCATTCTTACCTGATGGAGTTAAAGTACGCGCATTTATAAAAGATTGAACCATGCCATTTGCAAAAACTCCAAGCAACTTGGCACCAAATCCAGCAGCCGAGAGGTATTTGATTGCCTAAACACAATACAAAGTGAGCAATCACAAAGTAAAGAATAGAATGAAAAGGATTATCACCTAGAAACAAGATAGTAATAAAGACAATAAAAAAAAAAATTGGAATAAATCATACCTAGCAAGAATTAAGTTTGGAAGAACATCAAAAAGGCATATGAGACTATCATCTTGAATTTCCATGTACTTTAAAATTTCTTAGGATATCCTTGACCCACTACAATTGCATGCATGCAACAAAATATTTCAAAAGAAATCATCAACCACCAAATTCTTCAGCTACAATAGATTACTTGTCCATTAAGTCATTGATTACTTAGTTGACCAAAACACTCCAGAGAAAATTCAGACTGTGGAAGCACAAAATTAAAAGAGTTTTTAAAATGTATTTTAAGCAAGGTTTTAGCAATTTGATGATTATCTTATGCACACCAATATCCTTCAGATAAAAATTGCAATTTCCAGAGGACAATTTCTCTACAGAAAATTACACAGTGAAAAGCATAGGGCCAATACCTGTAACTCACGTTCACGGTTGATGACATATTCTGTGTTAGGTCCATATAATCTAACTGTTACAGACACATTATCTCCATTTTCTTCCTTCGCAGATACCTTTAGCACTGCATCAAATTAATCATGCTTAGTCAATAAATTACCACAAAATCGATCATATACAGCAAAATAAAACCAGAACAAATCAAATAAAATTATCAATAACCAAAAGCAACCAAATGACATTTTTTAGCCTCGTAGTACGGACCTTCTTTTTCCTTGTTATTTTCAAATTTTTAAACGCAATAACTGTAAATCCAATTGAAAAAACCGATCTAAAAGCATACTAATAAATTAACTCACTATTAAGCTTCTCGAAAGAGAGCGAAAATTTTCCATTCAGCTCAACAAGACAAACGAATAAAAATCTAATAAACAGCAAAAAGCAGAGTGCTCACGAAGATTAGTGATGCCGCCAGATACAGTCTCGACGGAGAAGCAAGAATCGTCCAACTTCGCCCATTTCCCAAACAGATCCTTACACAACTCGCTGTGAAAATGTATAAACCAAAAAAAAGATGTCATAAAAACGAAATTTATTTGAAATTCGTACCGTTTGAGCTGGTCCTACTTAGCTTACAAACAACGAAATAAATTTTGAAGATCCGCCAAATTCCATATGAAAATCAAACCCTAACATAAGCTAAGTTAGGAGCTCGAAATGAAATTAAAACAAAAAAAGAGCAGAGGAGAATAAAGCGAACATGACGCAAGAAACCATAAGGGGAAAAGAAAGAGCGGTATCGACTGAGAGAGCGGAGTGAGGGATTGAATCATCGACGGTTGAATTGCAGTTGTTTTGCTTAGCTTGGTTTGCTTCGATATCCATGGCGGTCCAGATCTTTCTCGTTCCTCCCATTGGCACCTTTCCAAACTGTAGAGCTTATATCGAAAAGTTTTGCTAAAATAAAGACGGGAGACTTTTTTGGGGAGGGGGCTCCAGTCATACCGGGAAATGGGAGTTTAATGTTGGGGACATTATTGGAAAAAGAATGATAGGAAATTGGACGGTTTCAGATGAAAAGACGAATATGGGCCTCGTATTCTCACGTGATGATGGCTATTCCGCCCATTTACGTCTTCGGCATTGTTCGGAATTTGGAACAATGGATGGATATTTTGTTAGGACAACGTATATAAATTAGTAATATCTTTGTTCTTTTATGATTTTTTTGTGAAAGCCCCTTTAATAATGATCGATGATATTTGATTTGATCCAATCAACTTTATCATTAAAATAACATTCTGTTTTACGTTGGACAATTACAATAAAAAAATAAGTTAGCTTCTAAATTTTCGGTTTTTTTTTATTTTAGAGGGAATTATTAACAAATAACATGCATAAGAAAAATTAAAAATAAAATTAAATAAAAAAATTGAATAAACTTTTTTATTATGTTAATCATTATATGATATGTCACATGAGTGTTTATAGATTTACATTAGATTAAAATAATAAAAATATAAATATATATATATGTTCAAGCTAATTTGTCGAATTTATGATAAACGGGATAGAAAAAGGTTATTAATAATTCCTCAAATAGCCGTAGCTTTCTAAAACAAAGTGCAATCTTTGACATTATCGGCACATCAAAACTGAGCCTCATTTTCATTTTTCTTTTTTTGTATCTTAAAAATCGTGGTGGGGGCAGACTTGACGAGATCAAGATTCGAGGTGACAGTTTAACGGTGCACACTCAGATTCTTTAGCATGCACGTGGCACTCTTCAAATATCTGATTAGTGATTTTTGTTTGACAGATTGATGTTTTTCTATCACGTGGAAGGGCATGTACCATTAATTTAAATCATCATCTAAGACTTTATTTAAAAACAAAACTTTGTCCATGATTTATTTATTGAAGTCGAATCATTACGTGCCATTTGGCGTTGGTCAGCCAGTCGTCACTGCTAGGGCTGTGCTTGGGAACGCAGATGAGGAGTTAGGTTAGGGAAAAATTAATACTTTATTATTATAGTTAGGCTAAGTATTAATGATTAAGTGGAAAAGGGAAAAGGACGGGAACTTTAGAAATGATAACGGTACGAGAAAGCGAAAGTATATATTTTTAATGTATTTAATTAAATTAAATTATAATATTTATTTTATAATAATTTATTATTATATAATTATATTATAATTAATAGATATAATATGATTATAGTGTAAAATTAAAATAATTAAATTATATTATATTTTGTAATATTATTAAAATTATTTTTACCTCTCAATTTTATTTTTTTGTTAAAATTATTTTATAATATTATAATTTATTTTTTATCTATCGATTTTAAGGTATGTTTTTTATTATTCACAATAATCATGGTAATGGTTAATAAAATTTACATTATCTTTTAAAAAAATAAAATATATGATATTAAAAATATATTTAAAATATTATATTATATAAAAATTAATAATAATAAATATAAATATATTAAACTTATATTTTAATAATAGAGATAATTATAAAAATTAACATTATATTCTTAATAAAGTACTTATAAACTAAAAATTATAATGTTATTTTTTTATATTTTAATCTTTACTTTACTTACATACCAAACATTATAATATTATATTCCATACAATTATATTACTTACAATTACATTACCTATAATCATATTACATTATAAAATATCATATACCATCAATGTATTTTGTTAACTATGGCAGAATGGCATGACTTGTGGAGATAGGTTAGCTTGGCTTAATGAAACAACATTAAAAAATCTAGATGTGAAAATAAAACAAATTAAAAAGCAAAGATAGTAGGGATCCAACAAACAAAGGCATGTTATTGTTACTTGCTGATTCAATGCAAGTTACCAAATTTTATAATTGGGATTTGAATGAAGAATATGTATTTAAAGAGTTTTACTAAAATATTCAAAATTCGAATAGAAAAACAATGTGGTATATTGTAGTTAAATCAATATTACAATTGGATTGAAAATTAGGAGTGAGAGAAATATATATAAAAAATTATGTTTATTCAAACAAACTAGTTAAAGACATAGTATTCAAAAAAATTCCTAAATTATTTAAAAAATTTTAAAAAATTATTATTTTATTACGTTCAATTAAGTTTTTATAATTTTATATTTGATTAAATAAGTTATTATAATTAATTATTATTAATTAAAATATTATTTATTATTTTATATTTATATGACACTGCAATGATATCAATGTAAAAAATAAAAAATATATAATTATCTTATCATATCAAATTAACATATTACGTTTTTATTAATTATAATATATTAATATTTTATATTATTATTAATTATAATATATTAACTTTTCATGTCATTATCATCATCCTCGGTACGTTTATACCTTGTTTTTTTTTATCTAACTATTTTTGTTATTTTAATTAATTTTGTTTTCACATTTTAGATTTCTTAACCTTGTGTCATTAAGCCAAGCTAACCTGTCTCCACAGGGCACGCCATTCTGCCGTAGTCAACAAAACACATTTTTAAAGCTCATGTCCTTTTTCCTTCCCCACTTAAGCATTAATACTTAACCTAATTTTACTAATAAAGTATTAATTTTTCCCTAACCTAACTCTTTGTCTGCCGTCCCAAAGAAGAGTCCTAACAGTGACGACTGGCTGACCACGCCAAATGGCATGTAATGAATCGACTTTAATAAATCGTTGACAAAGTTTTGTTTTTAAATAAAGTGTTAGATTATGATATTATTAATGATAAGAATTTATTTAATTTAAAATAAAAATATCAAAATTTATTTAATTTAAAATAAAAATATAAAATTTTAATTAAATATTAAATTTTTTTTAATTTTTTTGAATAATTTATGAAATTTTTAAATATCGTGTCTTACTTAAATAAGAAGCCTACAGTAAGTCGGTTAACATCAAACTGATATGTTTCAACTAAAGATGGATCATCCGGTCCAATGTAGTTGGGCTAAGCTTAGGCCATTGGGACCACTCAAAGTTAGAGCCTAAGAAGCAAATGAATCAGAGCTTCAGTAAAATTACTGACTCTGCAACTCGCCAAGGGCTACCATTTCCGCTCAGTTCCCCAACTCAATTACTCGAAGTGAAGATGCTGAGACCGCTCTTCGCAAAATCAACACTGAAACATGCCACTATCAGCTTCATTCAGTTCAACCCACGCGTGGGTCATCTGTCCTTTTCTCTCTTTTTTCCCTTAATTTTCTCACTTTTCCAATCCATTTTCCATTTGAATGGTTAATTTTCAATTGTGGGTTTCTTGTTGTTACAGAGAGAGATGCATAGCAGGAACAAGAAAGCGATGGAGTTGATAGCAAAAGGGTGGAGTGCTTTGAAAGAAGTTGACAGAGTCATTGATTACTGCGAGCGCAATGATAAACGCCTCATTCCTCTCCTTAGGGTACTTCATGGGAATTGGAAACTCTTTTTTTTGTTCATTGCAAAAAATTTTCTGTTTGGTTATGGTTCTAATTTCTATGCTTTAGGCAGCAAAGGAGAATTTTGAGTTGGCGTTGGAGGCTGATAATTCCAATACACATGCTAGGTATTGGTTATCCAAATTGCATTTGAAGTACCATGTTCCTGGAGCATGTAAAGCGATGTAAGTAAGGTTGTTTACTTATTGTATTGATATCATTTTTGCTCATACATTGATTGAAATTTTGATGGTTTAGTGTGCTGATACATTTCAAACTTTGAATGTTTGTTTGTGATTCTTGCTTTTATGCATATGATATATTTTGTTTGATTTTCATATTGGATGCCTTATGCTGATTTCATCTTGTTAATTTTACAAGTTGGATTAGATTATCTATATGCATATGACTGTTAAAACTAACTGCCTTATTATGATAGAGGAGCTGCTTTGTTAGTCGAAGCTGCGGATATGGGTGATCCAGATGCACAATATGAATTGGGTTGTCGTCTAAGAATTGAGGTTAGGCTCCTTTTTTCCTAAAATATCACTACTATAGTAGTTTAAGCAGTTTGTATGAAGCTGTGAATATTGGTTTAACAAATTTTGTTGAGCAATTACTCTTTTATGAAGATCTTACTTCCTAATTGTGACTTTGTAATTTGTAACTTTGTCTGCACTGCACATGATATCTTTTGAATTAACATTCCGGGTTCTTTTCTTGGACAGAATGACTATGTCCAATCAGATCAACAAGCTTTCTATTATTTGGAGAAAGCTGTTGACCAGGTACATTGCTTTAATAGTCACTTCTATGTTTGCCTTCATGATATCTCTCAAAGCCTTACTAAAACTCCTTATGTCATAGTTGCATCCAGGTGCTCTTTACCTTCTAGGTGCTGTATACCTGACAGGGGACTGTGTGAAGAAAGACATTGCTTCAGCATTATGGTGTTTTCACAGGGCATCAGAGAAAGTAAGGCTTCTCTTTGTTCTTATAACTTGTGGTTTTGTTTAACACACATGGATCCTTTATGCTTGGGGATTCTTCCATGATCGTCAAAATTGGTTTTGGGTCTGTTGAGTAAGGAATTGGTCCAACAGAGGTATCCAGATTAGCAGTCTACTTTATTGGAAGTCAGTTGAACTTCTGGAAGGACTTCTTCAGGTTGAACGCCGTAGCTAAGAGTTCATGGAGTGGGAATTGGGAATTGCGAACTTTGTTAATTGAACCTCTTAAGCTACCAAATAAAGCATTTCTTAATACTTTATTCTAAATTCAACTCAACAAAATCAAATAGTTATACTTGAAAATGAATGATCCAAATCATGAACATGCCTGTAATGAATGGAGATGGGATTCCTTTTCTATATGAGCAATTCGTGCCAGAATTTCCCACCAACTTCTGGTGGTAGGTGTAGGTGATATGCCCTGGTGCCTGATTAAATTTCCTTCCTATAAACAGTGGCGAAAGTAGATTTATTTTTATTTTAACTAACTGTGGTGCTATAAAATGATAAGGTATATCATTTGTATTTTTTTTGCCCAATATTTTTATTGGCAAAAAGCAAGAAAGTTACAAGTTCTAATTCATACATGGAATCTTAATATTATATTTTCAACTGGTGTATGCTACGATGGACAGATCTTAACTTCTATCCTTTAAATATATGCAGGGACATGCTGGAGCAGCCATAGCATATGGATCTCTGCTACTTAGAGGTTAAATGCGCACACCTTCTCATAATTTTCCTTTGACACCATATTAGTTTTCAGAAGGTTATCATATTATCATGTAATTCAGATTAATGGGGATGACTCAAATTGAAGATAAAAGAGAAACATAATACAACGTGGCAGCTGATTTTTTAATAGTTAATGATAGATATGAATTTAACTGGTATTTATCTGTATTGAGAGATCATTTATTATCATAATAAAAGGGCCCATCTTGAAGTGGAAACTTTTTTTACATCTTACTTTTGGTTGGGATATGCTGAATTGAATTCTAAAATGGTTCTATTCTCGCTGCCACTTCTCAGGTGTTCAAGTCCCAGAATGCCTAACAAAACTTAGTTCAAAGAGGGGTTCTGCTGCCAAAAGAGCAAGGAAGAATGTAGAAAGCCTTTCATTGGACCCAGTTGAAATGGCAAAAGAGCAGTTTCAAGTAGCAGCACAAGCCGGATGTGACCTTGGACTAAAATGGTTGCAAAGACTTGAGGAGGAAGAGAAGCGTCTATTGAGTGAAAGTAGCTCCACAGACAATGTTTCCCAAGCTAAACCGGCATTTTTATAACATGATCAGATGATCTTGACCAACTAACAGAGAGATGAGTGGTTTCCATCGAAGTCTACATGTATATTTAAGGGGAAGCAATACATATGGTGTAATTTTCATGTATACACGATTGTTCAATTATATATGTTTTATGCTTGGCTTGTCGCGATTGATGCAATTGTGGAAGACCTGGGTTCCCAGCAAAGGTTGTTGAGAACTCCCTATGAAAGGTTTGATGATATAATCTCTACTTCAAATGCTCAGAAATGGGTACGTGGGCATATGTTTTATGCATGCTTGTTTGTTCCCTTGGGCAGTTATGATTCCTAATCTTGACGGCGAAGTATTTATGAATAGCATTCCCTCATGCCTTTTCTTAATGTTGAAACAAAATTATATGTGTGAGACAGTGTGGTTGGTTGACCAAAGTCACGTATGGGTTATCATATAGCTTTTTGTAGTAGTTGTCACTTTTCACCTCTAAAATCCCATATTTACTTGAATTCGTGAAAATTCAATTTGTTGTGTAACGGAGCTTTCTTCTGAAGATACTAAAGGCAGGTAGCCATTGCATGTACGCCAAGGTTCAGTTTGTCATCTTAACTGGCTAAGCGGCACAGGCATCTGGTACACTGAGTCCCCCCAAAGCGCGATTGGCATTAAAGCAGCCCAAAACGATGTGATCCCCTGCACGGTCCCTATCCGCTGTTTTTTGAAAGCAGAGTCAGGAACGTAGGAAATAAACCCAACAGAATTGCAGAGTAATCAGCACTGTGGTTGTGGGCCATGTCCTGGTTCTCAATTCGAAAATTGAAAATCACTGCTAGGCTACTAGCGGGTAACTGGTAAGCCGCTATTGTGCCATGGCTGGGATATCCATGTCCATGTCCATGGGATGGTGCTGCTACCATTTCTAGCCTTTTTAGATTCTTCAGATAATTTCCTAAATGTTTTTAAGCACCCATTTTTTTTATTACAGACTTTTACAACTAATGCTTGAGGGCAGTGGATTGAATTGATGTATCATTTTTCCTAGTGCTTCGAACTTGAAGCAATGCTCAATGCAAGATCATTTTCCACCATGGCGTTCAAGGAAAGGGGACCTTGGTGTCTCTTTCTAATTTAGTATTTGTTCCTTGTGGTTATATGAGGGTAAATCTGTCTTTTTGTTACACTCTCAGGTCTCTGCATTATGTACAGAGTAGACACTGCAACGAGCCTATGACCCTCAATGGCAAGTTTGCCATTAAAGCAACACGTGTGAATATATGATGTAAAACCCTCTCTTTTGTCTTCTGACTACAATGCTTAATTTCCTCTTTAGTCATTCCAAGCGTTTCTGCTGAGGTTTGCGAGGGTTTAGAAGACAACTTAACCATTGATGATTTTTTAGCATTACAGTGTGTTTTTTCCTCAAAACAGGATTAACAATGTAAGACTAAGTCCGAGCAAAAGAAATTCAGGAAGGTGCCCCATAATTTGAACTCCCGATGAAAATTATTGATGAATTTTCTTTTTATGAGAGCAATATGGATGTTAGCATAACTTAACCATTGCACTCTACTAGTATTTCATGGTGTGCAGAAAAGCATCCAGCTCTGGTTACTGCAGCATCTGCCTCCTTTCTTCAGTGCCTCACAGCTAAGGCTGTTCACTCCCTACCGATAGAAGACAACTTCTGATCCCTGCTCCAAGTCGTATTTCTCATCAATGTTTCAGCTTTTTGTTCTTTCCTGATTTTGGAAGAGTTTTTTCCTGTGAGTTTGACAGGCTAAAAAAAAAGTGACACACTGAATTGACAATGACATACAAACAACATGACATGTAACAAAGACAATGTAATTTCCCCAACAGGTTCTGGTCATTTTTTCAGTGCCATGAACAACTAAAGAGCCAATGCCCTGTAACGTGTGGGCATACCAAAAGGTAGACTACTCCATCAAAGCTTAAGTGAGGCCACTGTTGAGGGTTGAAACTTGAAAATAATTTTTGAAACAAAGGAAATATTTACTCCTGTGGCAACAAGCCATAACCCATTTTTGTTTCAGTTTGTGACATTTATGTGAGAAGAAATTTGTAGTCTTGCTCCTTTGAAAGTTCAGAAAGGTACCTTTGGTTCTGCTCAAGAATGGCTTTATTGCAGAAGTTTTTCAAAAGGCTTATTTTTTCCCATCATTTACAGTAACATTACCCTTCATAGTTTCATCCAATGTGACATAATAATACGAATTATCTTTCGTAACATTAATTGCTTGTCTAATTGTGCAACAGAAATAAAGTAATCAACCTAGTTTATGCCAAGAAAAGAAGAAAACTAAAACGACGAAAATGCAATGAAAATCGAAACCATGAACATCCTTCTTCATCCATTGGCCGCATAAAAGGGCAGAAGAACAAATTGGCCCATATTCGAAGCCCAATAGCTGGCTATAATAGCAACCAATACCATCTCGACACGTTACCAAACTCCAAAGATATTTCAGTTTCCACACACGTAGCAGTCCACCTTTTCTTTCCTCCTCCCCCGTAACCCCTTCCCATGAAACGTTAATAACCATCGTACAAATCCTTTCACGCACCTTTTCTCCTATCTCCGCGATCCGCCATTTTCCTTTCTCCCTTTGAAAATCGTGTCCCCTCTCTAAGAGAGTGGAGACAGACTTCCATTTTTTTTTCTGGGGAAGGAAACAGAATAGGGAAACAGAAACAACTCGTTTTTCTACGCCTTTTTTACTACACCTATATATACTCCACAGACTCTTCATTTTTTTCTCAAACCCACAAAACCAGAAAACCCTTTGCGGTTCATAACATTTCTTAGCTTTTTAGTCTTTGCTCGGTTTTGTTCATCAAGCTTTAACTGAAAGGGAAAGAAAACACCAGAAAAATGACTCGGAATGATATGTTTACAGAGTCAACCAGGAAACCAACTCGCCCAACCAGACCTCGCTACTTACCTCCTCACTTGAGACCCCAAAACGCAAATGCTGTCTTTACTGATGCTGACACCCCTGAGTTAACTCGCCCACGTTACAACCGTTTCAGCTCGCCTCAAACCGCTCTAAACTCTAGCGGTCGAGGCCGCGGCCCTACACCCTGGTTCACCAACCGCCAAAAACCAAACTTGGACGATGAAAAGTTCGATGAACTAGAGGTCATTGATGACACCGCAGCAGGAACAAACGAAACCAACTTCGGCGCCTACGAGGACATTCCTGTACAAGCAAGCGGCGAGAACATACCCCCGCCGGTGCAGACCTTTGCGGAGATCGATTTGGGGGATGTTTTGAAGCAAAACATTAAGAGGTGCAAGTTCCTGAAGCCAACTCCAATCCAACGCCATGCTATTCCTGTAGTGGTTGCGGGTCGGGATTTGATGGCTTGTGCACAAACTGGGTCAGGGAAAACGGCTGCGTTTTGTTTTCCTATAATATGTGGGGTTTTGAAGAATCGGCTGTTGCTGAGTAGTCCTGCTGGAAGCCAGGTGGCGTGTCCTCTTGCTCTTATTTTGGCTCCTACCAGAGAGTTGTCTTGTCAGGTGGTCTTTGCTCTTTCTTTTTCCTTTTAATTGCTGGAGTCGTTGGAATTTTAGTATTATTTTACTATTATTGTTTGGTTTGGTTTGTTAATTGTGATTAGATACATAAGGAGGCAAAGAAGTTTGCTTATAGGACTGGGGTTAAAATCGTTGTTGCATATGGAGGGACGCCTATTTCTCAGCAGGTATCCTTTGCCTTAGATTCACTATGATCCATTTTGATATTAATGATGCTGATTTTTGGGTGATCTTAAATTTGTTATGACCTGCAACTATTTGCGTTGTTTTTGTTTTTTTCTTTTCAATGAAAAGGTTTGGGTGCTTCTCTCGAGTCTATATACTTTCTCTTTCAATTAATTAAAATATTGTTTATGGCTCTCTATGCTGTTGCATTTTGGCTCTCTTTGATGTAGTGCTCAGTGGGGTTATTTCTTTACGAGTTGTGAGACTAATTATTCTATATCAGTGACTTTTCTGCGGATTTGTTGTTTCTACAGATTGTGCGGTTCAATCATTATGTATGATCTAATGTGCATTGGATGCAATGTTGTGTCTTTTCAGTTTCGTAACATAGAGAAAGGTGTCGACATCTTAGTAGCTACTCCTGGGCGGTTGGTGGATATGATTGAGAGAACCAGACTTTCTCTTAGGATGATAAAATATCTAGCCTTAGATGAGGCAGACCGAATGTTGGATATGGGCTTTGAGCCTCAGATTCGAAAGATTGTTGAGAAAATGGGCATGCCTCCTCCTGGGACGAGGCAGACAATGCTTTTCAGTGCCACATTTCCTGATGAAATACAGGTTCCCACTTTATCCTGATGTGCATTATTTTTTGTTAGCTAAGTTCTCAAAATTATTTTGTTTCATGATATCAGAATATGAGCAATAATGAGGGTTATTCTTGTATTTGTGGTCTGCTTTAGCCTAACTCGTATTTTTGTGCTCATCATGTAACCTGCATTTTAATGTTCTTGTCTTCTTCCCTGTAAGCTCCTTATCTTTGTTTTGTAGAAACTTGCTTCTGATTTCCTCTCAGCCTATGTATTTCTGGCTGTTGGAAGGGTTGGTTCCAGCACAGATTTGATTGTACAGAGAGTTGAAATAGTTCAGGATATGGACAAAAGTAACCACCTTTTGAATCTTCTTCATGCCCAAAAGTCCAATGGAAGCCGTAGTAAGGTGCAATTAGTGTCTGCCTTTATTTGCAATGTAATAGTTTTGGCTTTCAAAGAAATTGGAGGGAAACTTGAAGCACATGTTGGATTATATGACAGCTCTGTCTTTAAACTTGCTGATAAGCGGATCCTACTTAATATTTTGCAGCATCCTTTAACTCTCGTTTTTGTGGAGACAAAGAGAGGCGCAGATGAGTTGGAACTCTGGTTGTCAAGGAATGCTTTTCCAGCAATTGCAATACATGGTGGCAAAGTGCAGATGGTTAGCTTGCTATCATAGTTTATCCCTTGCTTTATTGTAATATTGCCATCTTAATATGCCTAGATGAATATAATATGTTACTGCTGTCTTGTTCATGGAGTTAACAATCATCTTAATTGGAAAAAGTAATGCTTTCTATGTTAATAATTTGTATTTAGAAGCATTAAAATCAATTCATGGGAGAAGCAATTTTGATCATCATATTAGTGGTTTTCCTCAAGGTGGAAGAACAAAATGAAGTAATTGTAAATTTAATCTACTCAATTTGATCTATTTCTCTACCAGTGCCTCTATAAAAATTTGTTTACTTATCAAATCTTTGTAGGAAAGAGAGCAAGCTCTGAGATCCTTTAAAAGAGGTGCCACTCCAATTTTAGTTGCTACGGATGTTGCTTCACGAGGACTTGATATCCCTCATGTTGCACATGTCATTAACTTTGACTTGCCAAAAAACATAGATGACTATGTGCACAGGATAGGGCGAACAGGCCGTGCCGGGAATTGTGGCCTGGCTACAGCATTTTTCAGTGACAAGAACCTGCCTCTTGCAAAGTCACTGGCTGAATTAATGAGGGAATCAAACCAGGAAGTGCCATCTTGGCTAAGCCATTATGCAGAGAATTCCTCCTTTAGTGGTGGAGGTTGGGCTAAACGTGTTGGAGGCAAGTTTGGTGGTTATGACTTCCGAAAGGGCTTTCCATCGGGGAATGAGAGCAATTACCACTCGAGCACTCACAATGATACTCACCCTGTTCCTGCCACTGGTGATTATTATGCTGCTGCTAGTGCTAGCACCCAAACGTTTCTTGGCAGTGCTGGCATCTATGCTGATCCTTGTACCACATCTGCTAATGCCGATTATTTGTTTGGAAGTAATGAAAATCTTGATGGTGCTGGGGCACATGGATATGCATATAGTTATGGGCAGGTTGTTGCCAGTGGCTGGGAATAGACTT